AAAGAAGCAGCCTGGTTTCCCAATCTTTTGGCCACCGTCAATTGAGCAACAGTACTATGCTCTCGATCCTGCGCCATCCTCAGGCTGAGTTTCATCTCTCGAACGACCTTCTTAACCTCGTAAAGCTCGTCGTCTTGAGGGATATCACGTAAGCGTTTTTCCAAAGTCGCCGCAAAATCGTTCTTTGCCTCCATAGCCTGAAGACACATCAGGAATATGCTCAACAGAAAAATAAGTATCAGAGACCAAAAAGATCAGACCAAACAACCTTAGCATGTGCAACATTCATCTTTACATAATAATCACGCTCATTCATATTCTGCAGCGAAGGAAGAGGACACCCCGTCGGCTTGAAAGGCCTGACTAAATGAGTGACGCTGTCGGGATCATCCGTGATCAGACAATCCTTGGCATGGGAAAACTGCCATTGAAACGGTTTCACAGCCACACCTTCGCTCATGAAACCGAGTCGAGCATCTTTCCCAGAGATCTTTTCCTTCTTCGGAGGACGATCACGCCCCTCCAAGCCATTCAGACTACCAAAACTCAACAAAGTTGCGATCTTTGGATCATCCGAGTCTTTAAATTTGGATCGAACAGTAACACGAGGAAGTCGAGGCTCCTCGCGGAGAACTTCAGTAAGTGCTTCACTCACGTCACCAGAACGAATCCGCTCTGCTCCATTGTTTCGATTGCGAATTCTTTCAGATTCAAGAGAAGTAGTCTTTCCCGATGTCATGATTTACGGCTGAAGAAAAAGGATTCTCGAGGATACGAAGATAGGGAAAAACAAACTCGACATTTATAAAGGCAGGATAAACGAATATTACCAACTAAAAAGGGGATAAAATCTTTGAAACATAGATACCATAAATCCGTGATTATCCACAGAGCGTTTTACAAAAAGAAGCAGAAAGAAAAAGAACACTAGATATCCGATTTAGAATAAAAAAAGGAAAAAAGAAAAAGAAGATAAAACTAAGAATCAACTCCATCCTCGGAAGAAGATTCTGCGGAAACCGAATCACCAAAACCCTCGGGGAGATCAAGGTCTGCGGCGGACCAATCTGCAACGACAGCCAACTCGACGAGCCCTTCGCAATCCTTCTCCATCTCTCTGAGACGAGCCAGTTCATCGTCAATATCCAGCCCACCGTCTTTGATCTCATTTAACAGGTCGATGTTCGCAACCACCTCCCTTAGCTTGATCTCTGCGTCGACCTCCTTCTTCTTGTCCAGCCTCTTCTTCTCAATGTGAGCCAGAATCTCTCTACAGCGATCGGCGCATCACACGAGATTCGCGACGGACGTCTCGCTCCCTCTCTGCAAGAAACTCGGCGACCAGCGTCTTTTGATTGGCGACCTCGGTCTCAAATACTATCATTTCCTCGCGGGCCTTCTTCCACTCGTCCTTCAAATAGGCACCCTCACTGGTCTTCTTCTTGAGTTCCTCCTCAACTTTGTGAAAAGATTCTCTGAGACTCTTCACCTGGGCCCGCGACCTCACCAGATCCATGTCGCCGCAACCCACAAACATCGCGACGAGCTCATCAACAACAATCATGACCTATAAAACACTAGGAATATCAAAATAAGTCCAAACATAAAAGAATACTACGAGGGAAAATATAAATCACCTTGGAATTGGCATCCGCGATCTTTGAATATGTCTATCTTTCCTCAAGAGAAGCTGGAGGTAGAACAGAAGGACATGGAGCCGACCTACTAAAGCTTCGAAGCGATGACCGACGACACTTACGGTCGCTGGCAGCAGAGTCCTCCTCTGAGTCAGCACTTAGAGAGATCGGAGATCTTCCCGCTCCGGAGGTCCCCTAGACGTCAGAGACCAGAATAGGAATCAAGGTCAAATCCATGGGACCTCTATTTTCCGAGACACGACTCTGGATCCTGAACGATGGCCTCCTAGCCAACTGCCTTTCCGACCTAGCAGAGGAAGGAAAATCATTAGAAGGTCCCACAGCATCTTTAAGCCTGACCAAGCAGCTGGCAATCGCCGGAGCCTGCTCAGTCCCGTTAGGCAGCAAAAAGGCGGCACAGATTCGCTCGCCGTTAAAGGACGACCAATCTGGGCGATCTCGTTTTAACATCCTCAAGAGGCCGCAGATCTCTTCCGACATCGGAGAAGTCCCGGAATGCACTAGAAAGCCATAAAAAGAATCTGGCAATCAGATATTAGAGGAAAAAAAGAAGAATACATGATAAGAAATCGAAACTAACCTATATCATCACACAACCATCGGGGAATCCTCTCGAAGTCAAAATCACCTACCGACGAATGATCGAACTTAAAAACAAAGAACCTCTCTCTCCAATTGTCGTCGCGGTACGGAATTCCCTGTATAACATGGCGTCGAACACGAGGCAACATAAGAAAAGTCCCTGGGTTTTGATTGTTCCTCTTCAACAAGCATAAGTGATGAAGCTCCTCCAAACCAAAGCGCAAGCCCTCCTCACGAGCTCTGACCGCGAGCGCCAAAAGATGCCTCAGGCAATTCGGGCACATCTGAGTAAGACACATACCCAATTCAGCTGTGATCTCAAGAATCGGGGCAGGAATCGAAAAGAAAAGGCCACAAGATTCAAAGAATGTGCAATACACTCTGCAAAATCCCTCACGAATGGTCTCAGGGGTCTCGAGCGTACTGGCCAATTCGAGATTAACGCTCCGATCAACGCCATAAACCGAATACAAAGCTTCAAGATATTCAGCCTTAGTCGTCGGAAGAGGAAAAGTGAATGTTACACCCATCTTTACTTAAAGAGAGAAAATCGCACAAGCAAGAGACTTCGGAGAGAAAGAAATAAAAATTCCGGAGAGAAAGAAAAGAAGTTAGGAGAAAAAAAGGAGACCCTCGTATTTATTAGACAATTCGCCGACACCAAGAAACGGCTTTCTCATTAAACGAAGAGATAATGATTGGGTTTTTCATCGAAAACGGCACAAGTAGCCGTTACAGACACACACCAACGTTCCATCGACAAGGAGCGGAGACATGTCGAATCTCTGCGCGGAAGCTGAATCGCCTTCTACCAATTGAGTCCGAGCAAGCCATCTTAACTTTTCTTTTTAAAAATAATAAGATTATGGGACAAATGTTGGACCCAATTTCGGCACCTATCTGAACAGGCCCAAGCCAATCCAAAAATATAATTACCTCGACATCAAACCAAACTCTGCGAAGTCGATATGGGACCCCGGAGATCGCGGAAGCAGTTGAAGGAAGATAGGACTATAAAAAGAGAGCTAGAGTGTTATTTAGAAAACACGAGAAAAACCCAAGAACTATTCACTAATCACATCAACCTCATTCTTTAGATTTCTATTTCGCTTTCTGGTACTCTTTGTTGTTATTTCCGATCTTGTTAATCGCTTTTTAAACGAAGTCCATATTCAATAAAAGTCCATTTTTGTCAACCGAAGTCCGATTGTATCGTTGTGTTTAAGAGCATTGTTTCCCACATCCTTTGTCTTCCCCTGATTGAACTCTCGATCTCTACAAATACTGAGTGCGGATTTTAGGATCTACAAGTACAAACGTAGCTAAGAGGAAATGAGGCTACAAATTAACCAAACAATTTCTAGGAAAATGAAAGATAAAACTCAAAGATACAAAAAAGCCAGACAAAACAAAAGCAGACGGGAAATGGAGAATTACAGAATCCTGAAGACAGAGCAACTCAAAATTGTAGAAAATTCTAGATCCAGATCTACACTTAGAAACATTCTCGTTGAAAGTAACACTAAGACGAAATGAAATGAGGAGATGAACAATCCATTGGAGATGAAAGATCTGACCAAAATTGAGGCTTCATTGTGGAGAGCTAATCTGAGAAATAGAGATCGAAAAAGATGTCGAAAGGGAGAGAGGAGAGTATGGACAATTTTGGATCGAGAAGATGATGGCTAAAGGGAGAAAGGGGATTGGGTTCAATTTTGGAGTACGATTTCTAAATCTAGAAGATGTAAAAGAGGTTAGGGTTCACTTTATGAGAGTTTTCCAGATTTAGGAATTTGAAGAAGAGATAAGATTATTATTTTTTAGTTTTAAAAATAAATAATTTATCTATTTAAAGAAGCAAAAAAACAGATGGGTTTTGTCTAATTAGACCATCTCTAATGGTTACCTATTTTTTCTCTATAATTTACACAAAAATAGAATAACTGTATTATAGAGTAATTTTTGCTCCAAAGGTTTACTCTATAATAGAATTACTCTATTATAGTGTGAAATATAGAGTAATGTCATTTTCCCACTCCAAATATAGAGTGAAAAAGTGACATTACTCTATATTTCACTCTATTATAAAGTAACTCTATTATAGAGTAGACCATTAGAGTAAAATCTACTCAATAATAGAGTTACTCTATTTTTATGTAAATAATAGAGAAAAAATAGATAACCATTGGAGATGCCCTTAGGAAAGCTTACGAAAGACACCATCCAAATAGTTAGAGATCATCCTCGTAAATTTGCTCGGAGAAAATGTGCTATAGGTTCTATCTTTTAAAATAATTGAGAACTCAACTTGTATCTCCTAGTATAGTTTTCTCTATTTAAGAGCTTCATAAGTAAAATACAATATACATTGTTCAAGATACATTGAACAATGCGTTGACGATTAAGTTAGTCATTAAAGTTATCTGCAATTGAGGAGAGGCAAACTGTAAATAGAAAATGACAACAAGAAATATGTCACTTAGATAAATTTGCCTTATGAAATCACTAGTTGCCAAATTTAGCAAAAAAATTACAACTAACCAATATATTTTTTCACACAATCTCAACCCTTTAACAGTCTTGCATTCTCTCCCTTACTTTCATAAGTAGTATCTTCCATTTATCATCCTCCCAATTAGTTGGCTATCTTCTCTCCTCTTCTTTCCTTTATTTCCAAGAATCTACTCTCGCCACCCACCCGCCTCCATATGATCTGTTTGGTGACGGCGATTAAATCATACATCTCTTATTTGTATTGATATGGGTTGCGGTGGTTCAAGGCTAGGAGGTACGGTGGCGGCTAGAGCGGATGAGGGCGGCGTTGTGCCACTTCCGGCAGGAATACGTCCGCTTCTCCGGCGGAGATTAGAGGAGATGAAGAAACGGAGCCATGCAAACGTCTTGAAAGGGAAAAATACGCTATCCAAGACGGAGCTTCTAAGACACGACCCTTCCGAGGACGGAGACGAGAAGGAGGAGAACGTCGACAGCTTGAAGTTATCAGCTAAGGTCACTCCTGCGCCTGATCATCACATGGAAGAGAAGAAAGGGGTTATTTATGAGAAGATTTCGTCCATAGATGAGGTGAAAGAGGAGCAAGAGGTTGTGACAAAACAAGATGAGAAAAATGATGATGTCATCAATGTTAAAAAAGAAGGAAATGATGGAATAAATCATGACGAGGTCATCATTGCTAAGACGGAAGGAGATGATGGTGTTGCTCATGATGATTGTATAAATCTTGATGAGGTCATCATTGCTAAGCAGGAAGGAGATAATGGCGTTGATCATGATGAAGGGAGGATGATTTGTCCTGGATCTCCTAGCTTTAAGGTTTATTGCATCGATGTTGCTTCTGATGATGACGAAGAAGGTAAAGTTTACCTTCTTAATGGTTTTTACATATATACGTACCAAATAAGATTGTAAAGAAGAAGAAAATATGACAATATATGTAAATTAATCATGGCTGCATGCACGTTACACGTATGTATAAGTTGCTAGAAATTCTTTAATAAAAACTATATGTAGATATTATGTAAGACATGTCTTTTGTTTAGTTTGTTACAATAAGGTTCACAAGTGACTTCATTAAAACAAATCATCCATTGTCTTTTGCAGAAAAAGATGGCGAAGTCCCAATTGAAGCCGAAAGCGTCATCATAGAACAAAAAGAGGTAAAATATAAGTTACAACAATTTAAATAAATTACGAATAAGTAAAGAGAGAATCACAATCATTCATTAAACAATAGGACGAAAGCATTGTGAAAAACGAGAAAAGAGAAAGAAAAGGAAAGAGATTCGGGATAGCATTGCCAAGGAAGTATTTAGCTAATGTGACTGCACAATGCTATGCCAGTGCAGGATGCATGGGCAATAACACTCACACTCGTCGTGTGCAAGAGAAATCGAGCCAGTGACTAATATTTTTGCCATCTTTGAATTGATTTGTTGAAGGAAAATAATGTGTTGAAGGAAGAACGAAAAAATGGAGCCAATGAATATTCAAAAACCACCCCAACATGGGAAGTACTAATACCCTATTAATTAGATCTTTTATTGGTTTTGAGAGGCGCTTGTTTCAGAATTTGTACACCTTCTTCTCTTTGCTCTCTCTCACGATAAGTTAGTGTTTGACGAATTTTACCTTTTTATCTTCACGTGGAAAGATGTAAGTAATTGAACTTGTGCAATGAGAAAATGTTGTTTATTTGTAACAGTATTTTTTTTTTTTTTTGTTTGGCTGGAGTTATGAAAACTTAGAGTTCAACAACAAAATCATTTATGTTAGGGTTAAAATAAACCAAGATTGGTAAGGTCGGGGATTATTAATTCAAGAAGTCGTTTCTCTTGCTTAGAGCATGGTGTCGACTTCTCCTGTTCAAAAGATTTCTGGCTTTTGGATCAAGTGCTCCTTTTGCCTCTTGGTAAAAAACATCTAATAAAAGGTAATCTTTCATTATTTGAGGATATGAAAGTATCTAATCTAGTTTTGACACAGAGACCTATAAAAGAAACTCATAAACCCTATAAATTGGATCGACTTCTACACCTCGACTTTAGTAGTAGCAACTAGAATTAGGGTTTATGTGTCTATATGTTGTATTTCCTACTTGATTGCTCAATAGAACACTACCTTTGTTCCATACTTCTTACTTGCTATCTTACTTCATGATTATGTAGTATCACACTGTATTTTTCCTAACAGTTTGGCTGTAGAATGAGGAGATAACCAGGACAACTGGACGATGATCGAAAGTGAGCATGATCTTTCTTTGGCCACCTAGGCCAAAATTGAATTATGAACCCAGCTCGAGCAATGCTGAGACAAATTGCCGAGATGAAGACATGTCAGGAAAACATCAACACCCTTACAAATAATCTTGTAATCATCTTAAAAACTCAAACCTTGAAAGAAAGGATGGAAGATACTCAAAGCAATTTGAACAAAGCCTACAAAATTTATCAGAACTCGAGGCAGAGAAACTAGTTCTCTGAAAAGAAAAATCAGCCCTCAACACCGCCGAAAAGAAACGACACATGTTTCGAACCCATGTTTAACCTATGTATCCGTATGAGGGAGGCAACACAATTCGACAGACTCCACAACTGAACGGAGAACCGACCAAATGGACAGATATCACAAACACAAAAAAGTAAACCCAATGAAACACAACGATGATTCTGACCCGGATACCGACCATGAGATGGAGGAAGCAGCCTCTACGAAAAATCAAAAGAAACTGCTTACTAGAAGAATTTTATGTGCTCAAATTACCCTAGAACAACTCTCTCAAATAAGAGATCGATTGCAGTACTTATGGATCAAATCTACAGAGACTCTATCTTTCACACCATAGACTTTGATTTCAGATTAAGCTAAGCAGTAAATAATGTAAAGCAATAAATAACAAGAAATTAAATTGAGTAGTTGTAAACGATGGAATAAGGTGCTAGACTTAAGGTTTCATTCAGCTTATCAGAACTCAAATCTATAGAAGCTAAGGATTTCATCCCACTCAAGTTCAATGCATTAGATATCCAACTCTAGCTGTGAGTCTAATTAGATTTCTAAATCCTAGAATTACAGCTCTCAAATGCGAATTAGGAAGAGTGTTGATCGATACTACATAGTGTCAATCGATACTTCTTCAGATAAATATTAACGCTATGATCGATATGTTCAGTAAGTTAAACCAGTTCTTGCATGCGGTTAACAACCTAGGTCAGTAGGATTCAGTTCAGATAATCGACCAGCTCTCGCATGCGATTAACTATCCTATGATCAAGTTTCTTGTTAATTACTCTAAAAGCAAGTAGTAATAACAATCCTATTAGAGGATACAATAAATCACCCAAGAGTATCACTAGGTCCTTCCGCAACCTATTGTGTCACCACTCGATCGACCACCTTCAATAACTTGGGTCTCCGATTCGTTTTTGCAAGGATCTATCCCATACCGACCAAAAAAGAATCCTACGAGTGCATCATTTGGTATCAGATCTGCTTTGGTTAGGGGAGTTCTCGTTTCTTTTGTTTTTGCTTTAGCCGTCACCATCGTCTATCATCTTTAAGCGAACATTGCTTGTTGTGGTTTCGTGTGTGACCTAGTAGTTTCTTTGTGTTACACTTTGCAGAACGGCTTGAATACTGGTAGATCTAGGGTTTGTCTTAGGTCTTCTTGTTTGTGTTCTTGTTTAGCCGAACTTTTGATACTTTCCTTTTTTAGCTTAAATGAAAACCCTAATATAGGATTGTTAAACCTACACGTCTTTGAACCTGTTTCTTGTCTATCAAGTTGTTGTTCCTTATTGTGGGATTGCTTTGAACTACTTACTCGCTTGTTGTGTTGTTGGTGTAGGTACAAATGGGAACCGAAACTGATGAAGAAGCCGAGTTGGTCCGAAAGAACAAGTTACTAATGGAGGCCATGACGGCTCAGCTGAACGTGTCCATGATAGCTACGATGACCAATATGATGAAAACCAGTCTTGGTGAGATCCGTAAGGAGTTTCGAGAAGAAGTAAGGAGAGCTACCGGTAATGGCTACAGCCGAGAGACTAGAAGAGAATAAGAACGTGAGCATGCTGGCTATGAAGAGACCGATAACTACTACGAGCACGTTAGCTCTTCCTCAAGGCCTAGCAACCGAAGGCAAAGACGAGGATATGAAGATAGAGGAAACCGGAAGGATGAGCTAGCTTGTCTCGAGCTGAAAATACCTCCCTTCCATGGGAAGGCCGATCTCGATACTTATCTTGAGTGGGAAAAGAAGATCGAGCTCGTCTTTGACTGTGAACAAAACAGCCAAGCCAACAAGATTAAAATCGCTGTTATCGAGTTCTATGATTACGCGTTGAGCAGGTGGGATCAGTTAGTGACCACAAGGAGACGTAACCAAGAGTCCCCAGTTGAAGCTTGGCATGAGATGAAGTCAATTATGCGGAAGAGGTTTGTTCCGAGCCACTACCACTGTGATCTCCACCAGAAGTTGAGAAAGCTCACACAAGGATCTAAGACCATGGAAGAATACTATCAAGAGATGGAGTTGCTGATGCTGAGAGCTAGTATCTCCGAGGATAGAGAAGCCACAATGTCACGGTTCCTTGGAGGACTCAACCGTGAGATACAAGATAATGTTGAAATGCAACATTACGTGGAGTTGGTAGAGATGTTACACAAGGCTATTCTTGTGGAAAAACAGCTTAAGAGGAGGGGACATTCAAGAACCAGCTATGGAACCAATTTGTTTCACAGCACCAAGGAGGAAAGGACAACCTACTCTAAGGAGTCTAAACCATATCAAAAAGAAAGGAAGCCCTACCAGAAGGAAGACACCAAACCGAGTAGCAACCTTGACACGGCAAAGGCAAGGCCGAGGCTTCTAGTTCCAGAGCTCGGGATGTCAAGTGTGTCAAGTGCCAAGGACGAGGTCACTACGCTAATGAATGTACCAACAAGAGGGTCATGTTTCTTCTAGAGAATGGTGAGTACGTTTCAGAAGATGAAAGCACTGAATCTGACCATGAAGAAACTGAGGAATTGTGGGGACAACCAAAGAAGTTTTTGTCGCAGGAAGAGATGTATGATAGAAGATCTAAAGACTTGTGTTACTACTGTGATGAGAAGTACACACCTGGACATTATCTGAAGCACAAGAAAACTCAACTTTATACGATTGAGATGGAGGATAATGAGGAGTTTTTTGAGGCTGAAGATGAGGGAATTCTGGAGGAGAAGGAGGGTGATATTGCTCACATTTCTGCCAGTGCTGTAGCAGGTGTTACAGAAAATTACAGAACAATGAAAGTTCTGTATATTCTCATTGACTCAGGCTCTACACACAATTTTATGGACCCTGAGATTGCCAAGAAGTTGAGCTGTGAAGTTCGATCACTAAGGATGAAGAAAGTGGCAGTGGCTGATGGAGGAAGGGTTATTGTGACAGGAAGGGTTGACCAATTTCAATGGACTTTTCAGAACACTACTTTCCAACAGGATATTATGTTGATTCCTTTGGGAAACTGTGACATGGTTCTTGGCGTTCAGTGGCTATCATTGTTTGGACCTATTACTTGGGACTTCTTGAAGCTTGAAATGAAGTTTTGGTATCTTAATAAGAAAGTGGTCTTACATGGGATCAAGGACACGAGTGTTAGAGAAGTGAAGGGAGAGAAGTTAAAAATGGAGGAAGAAACTGGTAACATTTCACTGATATATATATATATTCATCAGAGAGATAATGAAGCAGTATCATCTAGCTATGCTATTGATTCTACTGGTGAGATGCAGGGTTCTTCTGAGTTGGATAACGTGTTGCAGAAGTATGAGGATTTGTTTGTAGAGCCAACAGAACTTCCACCATTAAGAGCAGGTCATGACCACAGAATACCTTTATTGGAAGGATCAAACCCAGTTAACCAATGTCCTTATCGATATGCGTTATATCAGAAGACCGAGATTGACAAAATAGTTCAAAGTCTCCTGGATGCTGGAACGATTCAAGCTAGCTCTAGTCCTTAGGCATCACCCATGGTTCTTGTTAAGAAGAAGGACAATTTTTGGAGGTTATGTGTTGACTATAGAAACCTCAACAGCATCACGATTAAGGATCGCTTTCCGATTCCTTTAATAGAGGATCTCATGGACGAGTTGGGAGGTTCTTCTATATACTCCAAGATTGACTTAAGAGCAGGGTATCATCAGGTGAGGATGGACAAGAATGATATTCATAAGACGGCTTTTAAGACTCACAGTGGTCATTATGAGTACTTAGTGATACCTTTTGGCCTCACCAATGCTCCAGCTACATTTCAACACTTGATGAACACAGTCTTTAAGCCATTTTTGCGGAGATTTGTTGTTGCAAAATCGGTACGACGGAATCAATAGCCAAAATTCCCCGCAAAAATACAAAAG